GACCAATAAAATGTTGGAGACTGTTGGATACAAACTACAAAATGTTGTCTTAGTCTTATATAAATCTGCATGAATCTGTTACATGGAATGCTTCACACAGTTAGTTCTCTCATTCTGCTAAAGAAATAGAAATGTTCCAGAAAAGAAATCAAGCAAAACCATTGATTGATGTTATATCTGTTTATGCATTGAATGAACACATGAGCACGCAGTACAGGATATAAACACAGACTCTGCCCTGAAGTACATATAATCTAGAAATAGAAGTATGGAACACTTAGGGTAACTAAAAATCCAATAAAGACAATGGAAAGTACCATAGGAAGGATCCGAGAGTACAGTCCTATGGTTATAGCACAAAAGAGAGAAATCACTTCCATCTGGGGGTGGGGGGGGGGGGGATAAAAAAAAAAAAAGGTTTCCAGGAGGGGGTAATCTTTGAGCCAGTCATAAAGGGTAGAGATTACTGGCTCTGAGGAGATAAGGAACAGGTGGATGAAAGGGAAGGGTCATGGGAAACTGCCTACAGCTGTTCATTTGCCTGGAGCGTGGGGTCAGGAAGGGAGATAGGAAATGGCAGCCTTACAGAAACACTGAAAACATTGCATTTTGGTGTGGAAATGTGAGGCCTTAAAGCAGGATATAATAAATCTAAAGAAAGTTAAAAGTTTGTAGGAGGGAAAACTAGAATTTACAGATCTTACAGCATTAGAATTAAGGACTGCTCTTGAAATACTGAAAACAGTAGCATTCGTTCAAATAAGAGGAAGCATATAGTACTTTCTAGTCTGATTAAAATCATTTACTCAATACATTGTGCGGGGAGGTTTAGATTCAAGAGGAATTCAATTAACTTCCAGATAACGAGACCATCGTGGTTGTTGAGAGAATTGAACAGTGTTTGGGGGAGACCGACCCCAATCTTAATGCAGTCAGTGCCCCTCAGAGAGCTTGATTCTTCCCTAAAACGTCTCAGCCCTGGAGTGTAATTGTTTAAAAGCTTGGGTTTGTGTTTCAGACAGATCTGGGTTCATGTCCTTTTCTGTAGCATGCAAGATATTGGGCAAATTGCTTTGTCTCTTTAAGTTCCAGATTCTTAAGATGGTAATGGTGATGCCCACTCCACAGGATTTTTATGAGAATAGACATATTATAAGAAAATGCTTGAGAAGAAAATGCTTTGCAGGATACTGGTGTTGTATAGCAGAAGTTGGCTGTTGTGGTTATTGCCTGAGTTACATGGGCCATGGGCTGAATTTAGGGTGACATTTCTTATGGTCTGAATTTAGGGTTTCAAAGGAATCAAGAAATATGTCCAAGCTTGCCTTCATAAGGGACCTCCCAGGTCTATGCAGTGCATGTAGTATGCCCAGCAACACACCCAAGGGCAGTCCCTACACATGGCGTCTAGGGTCTTGGATCACATGTGCATTTGATTTTAGGTATCTCAGGTCTTCAACTACTGAGCTCAAATACCCACACAAGACTAATCCTGTCTTGTGCCCAGGGCTGGGCTGAGACTTTGAGGTTCCTGAGAGCAAGAGCTGAATAAACTAGCCATGAGAGTGTCGGGGCCAGGCTAAAATAACATGGCCTGAGTGAATGACATAGGCAGCCAAGTCTAAAATACCAGGGAGCCATGGCTGGCTGGGGCGAAAAGAGAAAGTTGAAATTGTTTATAGGGGGAGAACACCAAAGCACACAGCTCTTGGGAGTCACGGAAAACAGGAGAGTAATGGCTCAGCAGGAGAGACGGCCAAAACTGGAGGCCACCACGATCGTTAACTGGAAAGCTGAATTCTGTAACGAAAAATTTACTCAGAGCTGGGCTGTGAGGAACAGTCCCGAGTATCTCTAGAGAAATGTAGTGGGCAGAGAGCAAAAAAGCTCAGTATGGTGACTCAGGAGGGCTGGAGCCAGCTCTTTCCTCCCCTTGTAAGAGCTCTTTTGTCACGAGTTAGATAATGTCTGAGGAAATCTGTGGTAATGGAGCAACGCAGCTCTCCATGACAATATGACGCTGGGACACCTCAGGCCTCTCTGAGCTACTGTGAGCTCATTTCTCAGAACAGCTTCCACCCTTCGTGAGGAGTGTCCCTTTGAGGACCTCTGTCACCAGTCCGTGGAGAGCAAGCACCACTGAAGAGACCTCCGTCCCTTCCCAGGGGCTTCCCTTGAAGAAGCTCCCTTATTATCACCCAACACCTAACTGGCTCCTTCTCAAGGGCTCCTCCCCAAGCTTCCCCTGAGTTTACATATCTCAACTATTTTTTAAAAGACGCATTAGCACTCAGGAACAGTCAAGACTTGAAAGAAGTCAGATGGCCTCAGAAAGAACCATGACCTTGGAGAGTGACCATAATAATCACAGCTTTTGATCTTCCTGGGACATTATACCTCAGGTCTCTGGAGCCCTCACCCCGGCCATGGCACTGGTGATGGTGGGAAGGGCCAATGACCAGTCTTCATGGACCTCTTGGCAGCCTGGAAGTGCATGGGAAGAAATACAAGCGTTTCCTTGCTCTCATATTTCCTTGCAGCATCCCTTACTTTTCTTCAGTCCTGCCTCTTGTCCCTGCCCATCTCCCGACAACCATCCCTCTGCCTTTAGAACTTTCTTCAACATCCCAAGAACTTCTGGAATGAAACAGGATCAGGAAGGAGGTGAGACATCATAGTAAGATCTTCTCAGAGCTGAGATGTCCTAGAAGTTCAACGAAATATTTGAGGTTTGGGTTTTCCTTTAAATTCGTCTAAACATTGGCACCAAAAATAAAACACGGACTCACCTCTTCCTCTTTAGCTTTCCTACTGTTCCTTCGTGCCCAACATTCAATAACTGACACTCTGAGCACTGTGTGCTAGGCACTGCTCTAGGTTCTGGTGAGACAGAGCTAAATCAGTCACACTTCTCACCTCTAAGGAACTTACAGTCAAGCTTCCAATTACATTTATCATTTATTTACACCTGTCTCAGAGACCTGCAGTGCACTAATTCAGTTTTCCCCAAACATGGTATATGGGCCAGCAGAGATGATTTTGCTGGTACACAAAAGGAGGTAGGAAAAGGTGGTGGCTGCAGTCAGAGGGCAGGTTTTGCCAGTAACAGCAAGAAAGGACAGAAGGCAAGAGGGAGGGAGCGGAGTAGCCAGCAGTTCCTAGACAAGGAGAGGGTACTATGGTTTCTTTTCAGGCTGTGGGTCCCCTGGTTACCCCTGCACTTGCTGGGTAACCCATGCCCAAGTCTTCATTGCTCACCATCTGAATTTCCAGGAGGGACTAGACCAGTAGGAACCCACAGGGGGCAGAACATCCCACCTGGTGCCCTGGTCTGAGGCCCAGGCTCTGTGAATTCACCAAGGCAGACCTGCAGGGTCAGATTACCTCCCACAGAGGCAAGGGAGCCCAGAGATGCAGAGCAGGCCTCCAGCACTGGAGAGCAGCCTCGAATTCTAGCCTCGAACCCACGTGAGCCAAGCAATCTTAAACCACTTGACCTCTTTGAGCCTTAGCATCTGAGTTGTAAAATGGAGAGAGAGTACCTACGCCACTGGGTTATTATGAGAATTCAATATAATTTAATTCTACATAGCATGTAGTTGGTGTCAGATAGTGATATGCCAAAGATCCAAGAATGTGTCTTCTAAGCTGACCCAAGCCTTCAACTAATTTCAAATATCAGAAAATATTTTCATTATCTGAACCATATGATTATACACTCATCTGAATAGCTCCTTGTTTTGCATATTATACAGGGATCTTTGGAAGATGAAACAAAATATCTTAATAAGTATTTTTCTAGACCAGAATTCAGCTTGGAGTAGATGAAGAACCCATTTTCCATCACTTTCCAAACATTACCAGGGAACTCAACCTGTTCCAAAACTAGATTTTGGAAATTGCTTCAGAAGCCTTATTCAAAGAGAAGTTTGTTGGGCTAAAGTTACTTTCATCATTTTTGTTAGGAACTGACTCTTAGTAACCAATCTTACCAGGTAAAAGTGTTCAATAATTTTTTTTTTCCAATCTTCCTGACACGCTACTCTAGTGAGTAGGAATTTTAAATTCACGAATCCTGCTAAGGCTAATACTATGACTACTAGTTATTATTATAGCTGACATTCGTGGAGAGCTTACTAAGTGCTGGGCGGGCCTGTCATAACTCTTTTGCATCTGTTAACTCATGCAGTGGTCAGAAACAACTCAGACTGGTGCTATTATTAGCCTTTTTTTGACAAACAAGGAACTAAGGCACACAGACATGGAGAAACGGACCCCTGGCCTGGGAGCTGGGACTCATCCAGGCAGTCTGACCCCTGCGCTTAGACGTAGCAAACTCAGACAGCTGACTCAGGACTCTGAGCCAAGCATATGTAAATTGTTTCCTTTTTCTCAATGAGGTACTTATTTTCATAAATTGTTCAGACTTACTGCTACATGCAAGACATTAAAAATTAATTAAAAATTAATAGCATTTGTTTTCATGGTTTCATGGCATTTCTCTATTTTTATACTCTTTTAAAAAAATTTACGGAAGCGATACTGATTTTGCACTTAAAGTGAAACTAGAAAGTTTTCTTCTGGAGCGAAGTGGTTGGAGTAAGAAAATCAGCTTCAGAGAAAGTGATGAAGTCTTTAATGGAGTCACTGGGTATAGGTGGACACGGTTGGAAAGGGGCTTGTGGCCCCCCCCCTTTTTTTTTTTTAACAGAAAACAGAACTTTATTCCAAGGATCAGAGATCATTTAAAATTATTTACAGTCATTGAAAATAACGTGGAGGGGTTGGGGCTCGGCAGAGCCACGCAGAGCCCTGGCTGTACAGCCCCCAGGGCCTAAGTGTTCCCCAAACACACACCCCGTGCCCCGGGGCCTGGACCGGTCCCCGCTGCCGGCCCGCCTCCCGGAGCGGGGCCCTGCGGAGACCCCCCGGGAGACTGGCGGGAGGGAGCGAGGGCGGGGATCCCCAGGAAGCTGGGCTGGGGGGCCCGCGGGGCCGGCCTAGCTCCACACGTCCAGGGAGTAGCAGCCCTTGGTCATCAGCTTCTTGACGTAGTCCACAGCCTGCGCGTGCTCCACGGCCCCCCCCGTCGGCCACGATGTCGTAGAAGATGTTCTGCACGTCCCTCGCCATGTTCCGAGCGTCCCCGCAGACATAGATGTGGGCGCCGGCCTCGTGGATCAGCCGCCACAGGTGCTCCTTGTCCCTCCGCAGTAAGTGCTGCACGTAGACCTTGTGCGGCTGCTCCCGGGAGAAGGCCACGCTGAGCTGGGTGAGGGAGCCATCCTTCTGGAACCCGGCCAGCTCCTCGCGGTACAGGTAGTCCTCGTCGGCGCGCCGGCAGCCGTAGTACAGCAGCGTCTCCCCGACCTCCTTGCCCTGCTGCCGCAGCCAGGCCCGCTCCTGGATGAAGCCGATGAAGGGGGCCACCCCGGTGCCGGGGCCCACCATGATGACGGGCGTGGTGGCCTTAAAAGGCAGGCGGAACTGGGACTTGCGCACGAACATGGGCACCAGGGCCCGGCGGCCGTTCTCCCCGGCCGGCTCCTTGGCCCGCAGCCAGCTGGTGGCCACGCCCTTGTCGACGCGGCCGGCCTCGGTCTCGTACTCCACGGCCACGGCGCAGATGTGCAGGGAGTTGGGGTGGACCTTGGAGGACGAGGCGACGGAGTAGTAGCGGGCCTGGAGGCGGGGCAGCAGCTCGCACAGGTGGTCGATGGGGGGCCGCAGGGACGGGAAGTCCTGCAGGATGGCCAGGATGTGCCTCCGGGCCTCCACCACCCAGCTCAGGTACAGCTCCTTGCCCTCGCCCGAGGACGAGGCCATCTTGCGCAGCTGCTCCTGCTGGGAGGGCTCGGAGGCGTACGGGGCCAGCTCGTAGAGCACGTTGGTAGGCGGCGGGTTGGTGATGTCCAGGTAGTAGGTGAGGGCCGTGCGGTACGACGTGGGGCAGGGGAAGGGGTGCTTCTTGTTGGACTCCTCGTCGAGATTGTTCAGGGACATGATGACGTCCAGCTCGGCACCCAGGATCTCGCCGAGCTGGCTGACCAGAGCCTCACGGAGCGCCACCAAGCCCAGCCCAGCGGCCCTGTCTGCTTAGCCAGCTGGCGTTTCCCTGGGCAAGTCCAAGTGGCAGATGACACGAAGCTGAGGCCAGGGTACAGAGGCCAGCTCTCGCTCCCACCGACCTCAGGGTCCCATGTCTTGCATTCTCAGTCACCCTGTGACCAGCTTTTGTGGAAAATGGGATATGGCCAGAGGGGGCTCCAACCCCTTCAAGGGATTAACAAGCTCATGCTTTACGAACTCACTTTAATGCTTGTATTGAAAATATTTATTTCAATACTGCTCTGAAAGGGCCAACATTGTCTGCACACCGCCTGCCCCGCAGCTGATTTCTAATGCTGACAAGAACAAGAAAGAGGAGAATACAGCCGAAGAAGCAAACAGACTCAATAAACACTGTATTTTACGATTCTTTCAAACATTTAAACCCGGCCCTGATCACTGACATTGCCACTTTTCTGAGTTTTTTTAAAAACTGCATTTTGTAAGAAAATGAGAAAAGGGAGCAACAGGGTGGCCTGGAGAACCAGGGTGTTTACTGCCTCGAGGAACCAGAAGTTCCTGCAAGCCTGGCTGGCCTAAGAAGTAACAGCTCAGCAAAGGGAAGGGGGAAAAAAACTCCCCTCCCACAGCAGCCACCGCCACCCCCTCTCGCACAGAGGCAGCAAGGCAAGAGCAAAACATTTTAGGAGATCTGGCCAGAACTGGTCTGTAAGAATTCCCCTGCAGCCTTAGCAATCTGGCCTCCCCGGGCAAACCTGCCTGCGGACGCAGACTCCCTGCAGCCGGGGGCCGCTCCGTAAGCTTGCAGCACCCGCCCGAGGCCGGCCACGTGGGCGGGACACTAAGGCGTGGAGCAAGAGAAAGACAGCTCAGCGGGCCGGGCCCTTGCCCCCGAAGAAAACAAGCAGGGGCAGGGAGGAAGACAGACTGTTCCCTGCAATCCGATCTCCTCCGTGCGAGCCCAGGCCCGGGGGCCAAGCTGGTTAGCCCCGGCTGGAAAAACCGAGCGTGGTGACTGTTCGGGGCAGATTAGAAACACATTGCTGGAGAGAGGCGAGGGAGGGGTGTTCTGCGGGCCCAGAGTGAGCATGGCAGCGAGGCTGGACGCGAGGCGTGGGGCTGGGCCAGGCGGCCCCCGCAGTGGGGGGAATGCCGAGGAAGGGCTGTGTATAATGCTCTGTTTGTGAGCCGAGATTCCAGCTCCTGGGGTGGCCCCTGGCAGCTGCCCTGGCCTCCCAGTGAGAAATCTGGAACAACAAAGACGCTGGGACAAAGGGTCTCAGGCCAGAGGGGCTGAAGGGTGTAGAGGGCCAATAGCACTTCAGTTCTGAGGGACACAGATCAGCCCCTCGGAGGCGGGAGACCAGCTGTCCAGCCGGGCTCCCTGAGGATCAAGAACTCACGTTTCCTGGGCATTTACTGGTGGCCGGGCTCTAGGCAAGGCTCTTACTACATACTCCATTGCGTATCAGGGGGTCACAGGATGGCATCCCCACTGACTGGAAACCCAGAAGCAAATAGCCTTTCTTCCCCATGTTAGGGACACCCAGAGTTGCCCAATTTCACAGCAGTGTGGTTTGTTTGAAATGGTAATGAGAGGTCAGCTGGGAATTTTGTCACTAGGAAACCAGTGGAACATGCCCTCCCTTAGCTTCCAGCCCGGGCGAGACTGTGAGGACCCCAGTGTCTTCACATCTCACCTCTGAAACACCGTCTGTGGCCCTACTGGCTCTCAGCTCCTCACATCCCCCATTTGGCCTGGGGGCTCCCCCTACCTGCTGAGCCGCCGCCGCTCGCCCGCAGCCTCTACTCTAGCGCCACCTGGTGGCCCGAGCTGCTAATCGACGGCTGATTCGGCTGGAATTTCTCAGAGCAGCAAAGTCTGTGTCTCACCTAGCCCGGCTTTGTGAGGTCCACTTGTCCTTTGGCTCTACCAGTTATGGACACGTTATTATCACTCTTCCCCAGTTTCCACGGGTTTGGCCAATTCTCTGCTGCTTCAGCTCACTAACTGGCCTCCAGTGTTATTTTCACATCTCCCCCGCCCCACCCCCGCAACACCCAAATCAGGGAGGTCTTGCCCCCTTTGTTACAATTTTGCCAAATAGACCAACTTTTTCATTTGAATCTTTTTCGGTTTTCTAGAGGATTCTTCTCTCCCTCTCCTTATAAGGGTTTGGGACATGGGGCATGGGACATGTTTCTGAGAGAGTGATTTTACTCTGTGAGCGTGGCACAAAATTCTACCTCATTCGAATTTGTCCCTCCCACCTGTGCTCAATCTCGTCCCCATCTGGGGGCTAAGACTGGGGACCGCAGGCCTGTCCAGTCACATGGGAGTTCCCTGCCCTCCTGGAAACCCTCCCTGGGAATGCACTTGAGAGTCTTCACCCTGGTTTTGACCAGGAGGCTCAGTCCGGTGTCTGACTCTGATCCACAGAGGCGACCAAGCACAAGAGGGAAAATAAGCCTTCTGGGCAACAAATGTGGAGGCCAAGCTCGAGTGAGAAGGGGTTTGTCCAGGACAGCAGCCTCAGACACACTCGGAAGGGTAAATGCCCTTTGCAAAACAGGAGGATGGCCAAGGCTGGGACCAGAGTGCCCGTGTCTGGTCAAGGCCATAGAGCAAAGCGAGCGTCAGAGAGAGGAGGGGGTTGGGTCTGAGGAGGCCGTGTGAGGTCCGGGTATTACGAAGAAGCACAAGGCCTGGGCTTTTATCAGGGACCTGCTGCGTGGCATTAGTTTAATTGAGCAAGCTAAGAGTCTGCAGAGCCGACTCAGATTCGTGGGGCCAGTGCACTCCCCAGATGTCTAGTTACTGTTTCTCCAAGGAGGCCTATCAAGACCTCAGGTAAATAGAACCGCCTATAAGGCACCCTCAGGACATGAGGCCCAGAGTGGGTATAAGGCACAGCACAGGTGTCTCTGGGCCCTTTGTCACCCTGATGCAGTAGGTTGATCCATAGGGCCTTTGTTTATGTTGGGCATTTGTTAAATGTTTATTTGCTTTTAATCATTTATTCATTTTCATCTGACCAATGTTTTATAGTATCTACTAATGTGCTGGGTACAGTGTTGGGTAGCAGAGCAGCGAGACAAGTAAGATAACCTCTTGATTATGGTAACTTGCAATTGTGGAGTGAGAACCATATACACGGTACAACTATGAAGTCGTGGTCTCTCTCACTAGTTTTACAACAGATCTGTGCGATACCACAGGTGGACATCTGTGTGATCATGTGGCCGAAGTAGCTGACTCTCTGGGACTCCGTCTTCTCTTCTGTGGAGAGGTGTTTGGGGAATATTAAAGCCAGTGTCCTCAGTAGGGTGCTTAACATTGTGTCTGCGTACAGTAATTGCCTCATAAATGTTGGCTCTATGATGATGATGATAAAGTTGATAGTTCAGAAAGGTAATAGAATTGGTCCAGGGTTTTCCAGGTAGTAATGGAGAAAATGTGGGCTCAAAAACCTGGATCTTCTGATTCAAAATTCAGTCTCCTTCTCCTTACTCATGACTGTCTCTTAAGGTACTGTCTTAGAGACACACGCAACAGCTGGGTGGTTAAGTGCTTTTCATTGCTTTTCTACCGTGAAGTTGATACAGAGAACCATGATTTAGGAGGTCAAGAGGCAAATTTGGCTCACCAAATACCAGTCACGGTTTTGATTCTTCCTCTGCACCACAGTTGCACCTGAATCAGAAGTCACATAAAACGTTTATAGGCATGAAAGGGAGCTGTGACTTCAATAGGCAGAAGGTGGGTTCTTTTTAGTCCAGGCGCTGAGGGGAGTGTCAGTTTGGATGAGAAACACACCAGGTCAGTGGGGGCACAGTCCCCAGAAATTCTTATTCAATGAGTCCTTGTTGAGGCACAGGAATCTGTTTTGAAGACGCTTACGACAAGCAGGTTTGAGAAGAACTGAACTAGACATGTCCCGAGGGCCTCTGTGGTTCTGTGGCCTGGCTTCTCCCGGGTGGTGGCGTCCGCCAAACTCAAGACAGGGTTGGGAATGAAAGGTGACGGGACCACGAAGGACGGAAGTCAACAAGAAGCTATGAGCATAGAGAAGCGACTTGGATTCTGGCCCCCCAGAAGAGCCTTGCCCATCTGAACCCTCCAGGGGTGCAGTCCTCCTTGGCCAGCTCATGACTGCTGGCTGAAGACCAGTTCTTGTAATTTAGAAAAAGCAGAGAGAAGGGTGTGGGTGGAGCTGATCTAGGTAAATCTCATCAATAATTCTGCAAGATCAAGTTCCTGAAGCAGCATGAACTTGCACATGCAGAGATAATGTGTCTCCACAGTCTCATTGGCTAATGTGTGAAGTTCTGCTTCAGGCTGTCTTATTTACCTGCATTGTTTTCTCAGCCAGACCTTTTGTCTGAGGGTGAGCCAGCACAAGGACAACAACACACACATTCCTCGAGCTCCGGCAGGTAAACCGGGGAGTCCAGGCCCAGCCATGTAGTGACCTTACCCAGCCCTCGGTGGCGGGCTCCCAGGAAGCAGCAGCTACAATAGTATCTCCAGCTTGGAGAACTTCTCCAGGCTCCACCTCCTGACCTTGGCTCAAAGCCCTTCTCCTCTCAGTGCTGTTTTCCCTGGATCTGTTTCCTGGATTCCCCTCGCCTAGGTCCTCTACTTTGATGATTAGTCTCTGGAATGTTGTCCCTGGATTTAATTCAGTTTTCCCCCTACCCCCACCCCTCTGTGCACTTGGCCCCTCTGTGAGATTTCTGGAGCCCCAGGACCACTGACTTCTAAGACACGGCATCTCAGCATGTGCCAAGCTCCTAGGGGTCCTGCCTGTCTAGAGTGCTGTGCTGAGACGAGCCAGAATTGGGTGCTACAGTCTGAGTAGGAACTGGGTGTTTCTGCCCAAGGCAACATGGGACCTGGCAGCCAAGAGGGATAAGAACAAAGTAGAAGTTAATTAGGAATAGGCAAGGGGGGAACTGAGCCTTGGATTTTCAGTTTGCCTTCAAGGGACAGCAGGCCTGAGGGTGTTAGTCTACCTTAAAGGGTCAGAAGCAAGAAAGGTCAGTGGTTCTCAGCTCTTGTTGTTTCTTGGGGTCACGAGGAGAGCTCTTAAAGAAAAATGGCGAAAAGAAAAAGAAAAACACAGAAAAACAATCTCCAGATCCCATCACAGAGCAATTACAGCAGAATCTCTGGGGATGGTCCTGACCTGTGTGTGTGAGTGCGCATGCGTGTGTGTATGTATATATGTGTATGTGTGTGTGTGTGTATGATTTTGATGGGTAGCCAGGGTTGAAAACCATTGAGATGATGACAGAATCAGACCCTTTGGCCTGGCCTCCAATATTTCTTCTCTGGATCTTTTCCAGCAGTGTGGGCCAGATCCTGCCAGAAACAGCTTGATGGGATAGAGAGAGTCAAGTCTTTGGAGTCATACATGAGTTCAGATCTTGGCCATATCACCTACTAGCTGTGATTCTGCAGGTCTTAACATTTCTGAGGTGTTTCAAGATTTAAGTTAAGATGGGATATTAAGTCAAGATCCAACACTGGCAGTTTTATGACATATGTTAATTTTCTTCCCTGTCACCAGACCCTTGTAGACCCTTCCCTGGGTACTGAGACAGTCCTAGAAGAAATGAAATATGCATCAAACCATTGCCCCACATTCTGTGGGAGATGAGCTCCCCTGTGGTCCTAAAGGCTATTGTACTGGACCCTACCTAGGATCGAATGTCCTAGGATCTGAATACCTAGACTATCCCTAAATTGCTTAAATTTGTCCTTGCCTCCTCCTATTCCCGCCCATTATCCCACTCCATGCGTTTGGGAGTTTGACCTGAGCTCACTGTTGTTGGGTTCTCTCTAGTCATCTTTCCCTTTGCAGAGACATACAATGAGTGTCAAGCCTGCGACCAGGGCATGACCCTCGTATCTCAGCCCCAGTTGGGTTTCTCACCAATGTTGGCTCATCGTCCAGTTTCATCTGCCTCCCTGGTACCCAGAGGCTTCTAGACTTTGAAGCTCCTCCACCCACCTACCTGTTCCAACACTGAGACATAAGTGGCTGGGCTACTCATGACACTGCTCCGGGAGCACCCAGCTGCCCTTCCAGGAACAACCTGGAATCCAGGTGGGTCATCCCTGTTGCTCCCTCTTTTTACCAGGGATCAGGCCCCTGCTTGGTCTAGTCAGACCTCTCCCCTCATCCCAGCCCTGGACTTTCCATTACCTGAGTCATCACATTGTAAATACTTGATGGCAAAGTGTGACTGTTGTGGAGTTTGGACATAAAAGGAAAAGCAGTTGCATTAAGGTAGGGCTGTCTACCTGGAAGGACTCTATAGTCTCTGTAGGTTCTTGACTTCTTACCACTTAGCATGGGGTGACGAGGTATGTTAAGTATGTTATAGAAATGCATGAATCTTTTCCAAAATCCAAATCAAGTGAGTCTTCAACAGTGCTTCTAGATCCTATACTAC